CTGCTCGTTGTGCCAACCAGCTTCCTCTGTCAGCCAACTGAGAGTGAATGAGGGAGTAACAGCAGGGGGAGGGGGAGGGCTGCAATGTCTCTCATGACCTAGACTTGGAAGTTTCACACAACCACTTCTGTCTCATTCTGTTGGTCACACAGAGTAGTCCTGGTACCATGTGGGAGGCACTACACAAGGGTATGAATACCAGGAGGTAGGGATCACTGGGGCCGTTTTGGAGGTGGGCTGCCACACAGAGCCACATCCCCCAGCTCCTGTGGCCTGAGCACTTGGCCCTTTGGGGTGAAGTTGCCAGATTTAGCAAATTAAAATACAGGATTCCCAGTTAAATTTGGGTTTCAGATAGACGATGAATTATTTTTTGGTATACGTATGTCCCAAGTCTTGTCTGGCAATCCTACTTTGGGGAGGAGGAATAGGTGCCCAAGAAGGAGCAATCTTGGGGGATGGCTGTATTCTGGGGCTTTAGGATAGTGCGTGACCTGAAGTTGACAGGTTGACCTCTGGCCTCTGTGGATGCTGAACTTGACCCTTCCACCACGGTCCTCTGCTTCTGAGGGGCCCAGACAGAGTGGCCAAGGCAGAAAGAAAGGGTTGGGGAAGGCCCTTCTGCAATCCTGGTGCTCCCACACCTGCCAAAAAGCTCCTTCCCTAGTGGGCTGGAGAGAGAAGCATCCCCAACCTTGCCTCCAGTTGGGCCTCAGAAGCCCAAGACTAAGGGGTTGGCAGGAGGAGGTGGCTGGAGGAGCCGGCAAGTTAAGGCACAGGGTCCCATCTGCTCTACCCTGACCTGGGGGGAAGGGGAGGCAAGAAGACGCCTGTTTTTCTGACCCGTCACAGAGGGGTCCCAAAAGGCCATCCTGAGTGGCATCCTCCCTGGTCCCTGAACCAGCCCCCTGCCTCCCCCCAAGTCATCCTGCCCCACCACCAGTCAACGTCCACTCTCATACCTTCTGGAGTGACTCCTGGCTGTATTTGCAAAAGAACCACTGTTGAGAAGTGGGGCTTCTCCTTCACTTCCTGGAGCTCAGGAAAGCCCAGATCATCTCTGCCCCAGCTTTGCAGGACCAACTGGGCTCAAGTCTCAGGGCTGGGAGTTGGCCTCCCCAGGAAGAGCTTGTCTCTCAGACCCCCCTGTCCACACAGCTACCTGCCCCACCCCCACCCCCTGCAGACCCATCCCTTTCAGGCCCACCCCCACCCTTTCCCCACCATGGAGCTGTCCTGGCTGCTGCGCCAGGCTGGGCAGGACAGGCCCACTCTAGATGAAGCGCTTGTCCTGCTCGCGGTAGGAGAAGGGGTCCCCAGGGAAAGGCTGAGGTGGAGGCTGATTGTAGGCGCCCTGAAGGAAGATCCAGGCCGTGCCCACTACCATGATGGGTGTCACCACAAACAGGCAGAGTCGGTCCACTGTGCGGGCCACTCGGTTCCAGCAGTCCTTTTCCTGGGGGAAAGGTGACAGAGACAGTGGAGTGGGGCGGGCCTTCAAGCCACAGACTCATGCCCCCCAAGCTGGGGCCAGGTGACAGAGGTATGGCCTCAGCGTTTCTGTGGGGGCTGCCTCAGGCTTGCAGCAGATGGGATGTGCTGGCATGTCCCCAGCAAGGACCCAGGCCCCCTTCCAGCCACAGGCAGGGCTGGTCTTTGTCTATTAAGGAGACCAAGAGCAGGGCCACAGCCTCCTTCCCAGCCACTCAGTGCTACCCCTAACCTATATATGAACTGGAAAAAGGTGCCCCTTTCTCAAGAAAGAATTTTTTTTAAAGCTGTATAATATTGAACAACCATAAAAGGCTGCCTTTTAACTGTCTGGCTTTGTCTGGACTATCAGCTTGGAGTTGAGCAGGGACAGAAAATGACTGGCAGCTGGGAGAAAGAAGGGACCCTAAGGGAGGTCCAGAGCGTGGTGCCAACAGCAGGGAGCTGTGTGCCTATGTGTATACCTGAGTGTGTGTCTCGCCCCGTGTGCTGCTATGGGATTCTAGGAAGGGGCTCCCCCTACCTGAGGGGCCTAGAATCTGTACCCACTGTGAGAGCCTTCATTTAAGTTTGTAGATATCTCTGAGGGGAACTGTGCCCCCTTAAGGTAGGATATGCTTGATCAGTGCACTACTTGAACACCTGTACATGGCAACTCTGTTGCTACTCACCTCGTTGTAATTGTTCTGGTCCCTCATGTGATTGACGATAAAATTGGCCCCATCCACAGCTGGCTTCAGCTCACTGAAGAGCTCCTGCTGGGCCTGCTCAGAGCCTGCTGGGGGCCGGCCTGTGGACATCAGACCAGAGGTGGGCATGAGGGCTACCCTCATCCCACCTCCCATAGATCAGCCAAACTCTAAGCTGTTAGGGACCCACGTGCGGTGGTGAGGCGCCGGGCTAGCCCATGTCGCTCTGACTGCTTCTCAAACATGAGATCACTTCGAGACTTGAGCGAGAAGTATTCCTCTGCCTTAGAGATGTAGCCCAGGGAACTACTCCTCCGGACCAGGGCCCCGGGACTGGGCCCATCCTCCGTGGGGCGGGACATGTGCAGGACCTCCGGCAGGGTCTCCAGGAAGAGCTGTGGCAGGTCAGGGGTCACATTTTACAAACATGGGTCACCTTCACACATCCAAACATCTGTGACTCTGTTCCTGGCTGCCACAAAGTGCTCCCCAGTCTGACGCTGGTCATTATTCCCCTGATGCCCTACTGATGGACACTCCCTCATTACTCACAGCATAGAGAACTCATTTGTTGAAAATGAATTATATATGAAAAACAAAGAAGTAAGAAAAATACCCCAAATGCTGAGCTAAGATGAAAAAATTGCTAAACTACTTCAGCTGTCCCAGAAGAACCAGGTGGCCACAGAGGCTGAGAGGCAAGGACAGTCCCCGTCCTGGGCACCCCGCCCCCACAGTTCTCACCTTCCTTTGAATTCAGGTGTAACAAACTCACATTAGAATCAACAAATCTTAAGCATGTAGCTAGGTGCAATTTCACAGTGTTCAGCCACGTACACACCTCTCAGGTAAGATATCGACCTTCAGTTCAGAAGTGTTCCCTCATGCCTTGTGACCCCATCAATTCCTACCCACCCTAGAGGGAACGACCATCCCGATTCCTATCACTAAAGATTGGTTCTGCTTGTCCTTGAACTTCATAGAAAGGAAATCTCGCACAGGAAGCCTGTGTTCTTTAGGTAACATTTCGCCCAGGGTCCCTGCGGTGGGGCTTTTGCCACTGAGTTGCGCTCCTCGTGTGGGTGTAGCCATGGCTTCCCCTGCCGAGGGGCACGTGGACAGTCCCCAGCTTTTGGCTACTGAGAGCCCTCACCTTCTTGACCCCCTCAGACAGCACGTGGGTGCTGGGTGTGCGGAAGTGGATGTTGAGCACGATGACACAGATCACCACGACCATGGTCACCAGAACCATGCCAAAGAGCAGGAACCTGTGGGCACACGCACAGCCTGGAGCCCCTGCCTGGGGCACTGTGCAGCGAAGAGTGGCGGGGCGAGCCGGGTGGGGTAAGTCACTCACTTGCCAATGAGGGGGATGGCCTTGGATGTGGCTGGCAGCCTCTTGGAGATGAGCAGCAGGAAGACAGATTGGGCCAGGAGCACAGAGATGGCCATTGATGTCTTCTCGCCACCTGGAGAGCCCGGACTTAGCTGTGACCTCTGGTCCCGAGCCGGGAGGGTCCCACTGTGTCTCCTGCACTACTATTAACAATGCTTTCATGGTGCCCTGATTACCATCCTGGGCTCAAATCCCACTCTGTCACTTACTGCTGAGTGACCTTGGGCAAATAACCTAACCTCTCTGTGCCTCAGTTTTCTCAACTGTTACATGTTGTGAGAACAAGGTGAGAGAACATGTTCTAAACACTCAGAATCTGCCTGGCATGGGGTGAGAGCTCAAGGAACACCCGCTACCATTGTTAGCCAATCCCCTGTCACCCAGCCCTCCTGAATCACAGATCTGCATGTGTCCCTCCTCCACACAGAAAGCCCCAGGGCATCCTCATGGCACCCAGGTAACAAACAGTCCTACTCGCAGCACTTCCTTCAAAGACCCCAGCCCAACACTCCCTACGCCCCGCCCCAGCGCCCCTTCTCTGTCTGCAGTGCGCCTCCCAGCCTGGCTCCAGCTCCCATCCCACTGCTGCCAGGCGGCACTTCTGGTCCTGTACTTTCTATTCTGTCTGCCAGGGTCAGGGGCTGGGTCACATCTGTCTCTGGAACTCACTGTGCCCTGCTCATAGTAAGTATTCTGGAGCCAAGTGACTACAAATGACATATGCCGTTCTAGAACCAGGTGAGTATAGAGTGCACGCCCCATGCCCTGGCTTCCTAGAGACCCTGTTATCCACCCATTGGCTCAACAGCCAGGCCCACAGCCACACAGACCTGTGTGGTGACCACACAGACCCGACCTCTGCCCTGACAGAGGAACACTGCAGTGGTTCTCCCTAGTGTCCTTGGAAAGCCCATCCTGAGAGGCAGAAGTGGGGTCCAAGAGGGATGGAACCCCCAGGGATCCTGTTCACGTGGGGAATATCAGACATGGGCACAGAGCCCTCCCACTGACAGGCCACATGTCCCTCATGCCTGGATCCTGAGCAGGGAGCCCCAGGAGCAGTGATCTCCAAGTGGCTCCCAGGAGGAAGTGAGGGGCAAGGCAGGGGCGGCGATGCACAGGTGCTCCGGGGAGGGGAGGGGCTCTAAGGCTCACAGTCAGCCGGCAGGTAGAAGACCAGGTTGATCATGAAGGAGATGAGCACACAGGGCACCAGGATGTTGATGACGTAGAATAGGGGCTTGCGGCGGATGATGAGATAGAAGGTGACGTCCTGGCGGCCGGGACTGTCCAGCGGGGCACTGGGGTCCACGTTGATCCTGGCTGGCCGGTGCACTATTTCCCACTCCCCGTTCTCTGAGGGAGGCATGTGGACGCGCTAGGGTCAGGCTGGGCAAGGGGACCAAGGTGGGGGCGTCAGGGCAGGACGAGGGGCTGGGGGTAGTGAGAGGGCCCAGAGGCGCAGCCAGGCCTGTCTGCGGGGCCCTAAGGGGAGGGGGCGAGGCACAGAGGAGGGTTCATGGTCTGTTTGTGGGTGTCCTTCCCGGGGGGTTGGAAAGGAAGTTTCAATCTACAGAGGGGATGTTTTCCTCGGGGGCTGACGCTTTTGTTTTCTCCTTGGGAAAACTAGAAGCTGAGGGCATACGTGGTTCAAAGGAGTCTTGGGGATAACAAGGCAGTGAGAGTAGGAACTCCCGTCCTGGTGATGAGGGTCTCCTCTGACAGAGAGAGGCAAGCAGTGGGGCCCCACAGAAGACTGGGCTTAGTCCCAGAAAGGGGATGGGGGTCTTTGGGAAGGGGCAACAAACACACCATCAGGATGACAGCCAAAGCCCCCACCATCCCCTGGGCTCTCTGGGGACAGGAAGACTAACCACCCCCTCGTCTGTTGGCCACATGCATCCCCAGGGACCCTGCCCAGACCCAGAAGGTCTGTTTACCTGGGTGTCTATGTCCCAGGTGTATGTACCCAAAGCATAACATGCATCTCCGGGGGACAGGGGTGTTGGTGTGACGGTACCTGAAGGGCCTGCCCACCCACAGCTGCTGCTCCCAGCACCTGTGAAGCCCTCGGGGTCGATGATGATCCACTCCATGGCGTAGTGGCGGCCATCCTCTTCATCCTGCTTCAGGCTCAGGGTGATCTCCTTGGCCGTGTACTTGAGTGAACTGGGGAGGGCAGTGGACAGAGAGTGGTCCTCAGCCACTGACTGGGCCACTGAGCAGGGCAAACTAGTGCAGGAGGTTCATGGTGGCAGGGGCCACTGCAGGGATGGGGAGCTCTAATCAGGACAGAGCAGAGGTCTCCACCTGAGGGTGCTTCATTCACCTCCGTAAGGCCCTGGCAGGGTGCCCTGGGGTGAGGGGTGGCTGGAGAAGTGGGTGCACCTGAACTTGAGGGAGCAGTTCTGCCAGTCGAAGGGGAAGTAGGTGACGGAGATGGGACAAGAAGAGTGGAAGATGGCGGGTGGCAGCCAGTACACGTAGCCAGAGGAGTAGATGAGCACGTTGCAGGAGTAGGAAATCTGGAAGGAGCCGTCATTGCTGGGGGCAGGGACAGAGGTCGCAGTGAGTGCTAGCCAGCTTGGAACTGGCAGGACTGGGGGCGGCAGAGGAGGGAGGGCAGTCAGACGCTTGAGGCTGAGGGAGAGGCTCAAGACGTTTAAGGAAGGGAGACAGAGTGATGGAGGGGAGGCCAGGGAGGGCGGCGGCTCAACTTGTTCTCCAGCACAATTTCTGGGAGCCACACCATGTCAGCAGGCGCAGGACGCTGATGTTCCCAAATTTTTCGGCATCCCACTCCAGCCGGCTGTCTGTCCAGCCCTGGAAGCCCAGAAGAATGTTGGCAGCAGGCTGTGCTGTTGTCCAGGCTCCCCCGACTCCCCCTACTTCCCTGAGGGAAGACTGTAGGGTCCAGGGCTGTGACAGAAGAGGTTTGGGGAGGTGGGTACAGAGTGAGGACTCAGGTCTGTCATGTACAGCTGTATAGGTTGTACTCTGCACAACTTGGAAGCACTGTTTTCACTGTGGACATAGAAGACTTACATCTATATTATGAGCTTCTGGTAGGTGGTAGACAGTGTCTTCTGTAAAATCAAGACACTGTGACAATTTTCTCCTAAATGGAGAATCCTAATCTACAAGCCTAATCAATCTGGCCTTATGGCCGCACTAGCTGGTGGGAAGGGCAGCCGGGCCTGGGGTTTCTCTATAGGCAAGTCAGTCCCTCCTGGAGAACAGTGTCTGACACAGGCTGGGGATCCCCGAGCAGAAGCCAGCAGAAGGGAACCCGGGCCCTGCACCCTCACCCTTCGGCTCTAAGTGGGGTGTTCTCCTTACGTGCTCAATCCACACGTTAGTGGTGAGGGTCTCTTCAACTTCTTTCTGTAATCAAATAGGACGACTGTCCCCAGGGTCCTGCACACATTCACCAGGCACCTCCTCCCTGCTGCCACCCAGGTGATGGGGAAACCACGGTGATGGCCTGCCCCCAGCAGTCAGGAGTGGACGAGCAGACCAGGGAGCGGGGAGAGCACATGGCCTCTAAAGTGTGTCTTGGGTGCAATATCGGGGCTCCCCAAGAGCGGAAGCTGGAGGGGAAGGGGCATCAGCCTGAGGCCTGCAGGCAGCCCAGGGCATGGAGACAGCCTGAGTGTGTTTCCAGGGGAGAGGAGCTCCAGAAGTGGGGCTGGAGCCTTGGGCTTCCCAAGCAGGGAGACAGCCAGGTCTCCAGGAAGTTGTCCCTGTCATGCTTCCCCAGCCCAGCCAGGAGGGGCCTCTCACCAGGGAGATGAGGTTGGAGAGGGTGAGGGCCAGGGAGACCTCCACACTCTCCTCTTTCTGTGCCACAGGCCTCAGCTCCTTGTTGTACCCCTTCTCCTCAAACAGGTGCCGGATCAGTCGTTCCTCCTCGTTCAGGCCCCAGCTGCCTGGGGAGGGTTGGGGATAGGGGCCCAGGAAGGATGCTGCCCTGAGGTCCAGCTGGGCGATGGAGCTGGGCCCTGGAGGTTGGCCCCTCCAGGGAGAAATTGCAGTGGGAATGGGGAGGTGGGTCTGATGCTGGAAGAGGGAGCATCAGGTAGGAGTGGGTGGGAGGGGACCATGCTGTGGGGGACCCGGGTAGGCATCCTGAGGGACCCTTCCGGGAAGGGGTGATGGCCACTCTTACCACACACCATCAGGGCAGCCAGCAGTCCCAGTGTTAACACAGGCCCCTCCATCCTTCTCCTCTGACTGGGTCTTGGGTCTGCGCCTCCTATCAGCAGGGCTGGGGAATGTGGGTGGGTGACAGAGGGGACAGGTGCAGGATGGGGGGAGGGTACAAAGGGAAGAGGCAGCCGGAAACGCAATCTGACACCCCTAGGCTCTGCTGCAGGGAAGAGAAACTGGGGCAGGTGATGAGGGGGTGGGGACAGGGACTGGCCAGCCAGGCAGGAGCCCAAAGACATGAGGCAAAGATCCCAGGCTGGGACTCCCTACAGCTAGCAGTGAGGGCGGAGGCTGCGTGCAACGCTGAACATTGGGGGCAGCACTGATCAGCCATGGATAGCGAAGTGGTGATAGGCAGGTCCACCACTGCCCTTTCTTGGGAGGTAGACAGGTATGCTGAGGTGGGGGGCTCTGCAGCCCCCAGCCAGTGACCTCCACCAACTGATTCTGGGGGCTGGGCCGTACCCCCAGAGATCCAATGTCCATCCTAAGGAAACCCTCAGGGGAGGGTATAGCTCAGTGGTAGAGTGTGTGCTTAGCATGCAAGAGGTCCTGGGTTCAACCCCCAATACCTGCATTAAATAAATAAACAAATAAACTTAATTACCTCTCCCACTGGGGAAAAAAAAAGAAAGAAATTCAATGCTAAGAAAGCTCTGGAGTTGTATCTGTAGATCATAAATAATGTTTATTAAAGCAGCTGTAATTTTCTGATGGCACATCTGGGAAGACACGTAGGGCCCAGGACCCTTGTCCCACCTCCCCGACCCCCACCCAACTCTGGCAGTGACAGTTTGTCATCATGTTTCCTGAACCCTTCCCAGGCCCTGGGAGCAGCAGGTCCTGACCAGGGCCTAGGGGAGAAACATGGCTCACGGCCATCTGGCTGGGGGAACCCGAGGGCTGAGTGGATGATGCTCCTTCCTCCCCAGCCCTCGGCCCTGCCTTGAACCCATCCGGGGTCCTTCAGGCTCTGCCTCCGCCAGGGCTGCCAAGCGGAAGGCCTGCAGGGCCTGTACCAGCAACCGGGGAAGGCTTCGAGCCAGCGTGGCTGGCTCCAGGCCCACCAGGCCACCAAAGCCCACGTGTCGGCCACACAAGCCTGCCCGAACCCAGGCTCGGAAGAGCCCGGTCAGTGTCTTGGAGCCCAGATCTGCCAGGACCTGCAGAAGGAGGAGGCAGCTCAGGGGCCAACAACCATACTCTTGCTCTCCTCTTGGCCCTCAGAAATTCTCACTCAAACCCATCCCTTCTCCATCCCCTTCCCCCTAATCCTGCACACTTCCTGCTCACTGGGACACCCCCACAAGCCCTCTGCTCACACCTTCCCTCACATCTTCACACCCACCCAGCACTCAGCTCACACAGCTTCCCTCCCCCTCCCCTCAGAACTCCCCTCCCACCTTCACCCCAAGCTGCTGGGGGGAAGGTCCCTCCCTCCTGCTGGGGAGGGTGCCTCTCCTGTGCCACTACCCATCAGGGCTGACCCAGGTTAGCCTTCTGAGGCCACTGTGAAGGAGTCTGGGAAGGCGGGCTACCCACCTCGTGAAAGTCCATGGCCAGGTGCTCTGAGGGGACCTGCAGGATCCAGGCATGGGTGCCCTGGAGGGTGGCCAATTTCTGCCGCAGGGCCTCCAGCCCAGGGCAGCCTGCAGGAAGGGGAGAAGCCGCGGGAATAAACGCAAGCGTGGAGATGGGGGTGGTATTCCCATCAGTACCTCTAGGCACCTCCCAGTGGGCAGACTTATGCTCTAGATGGGGCAGCTGAAGAGCAGCCAAGACTTGGAAAGGTTAAATAATAACACAAGGCCCAGCATCTCTTTTGATACTGATGATGGCCCAAAGTCACAAGTTCCCCTAAAGAATCATCTGCGCTGCTGCTGGGGGGAAAAAAAGGGAGAGCGATTTGCCCATTGCCAGAAGGGGTGAAACTGCTTCCCAGCGCAGACCCTGGGAGAATCCTCAGGGCCTCGGCCAGCCCTTGACCCACTCCACTGGCGATCGCCGGCAGGGGGCGTCATTACCGTCCGCTTCGCCTCGCTGCTCTGACCTCCTCTTCGGGAACCGAGTGCTTGCAGCCCGCGATCCTGCGGAAACGCAGAGCTAAGGGAACGCCTCGGCCGCGGCGGGGTGGGTCCGGGGCTGGGCTGCGAGGGCTTGGGGTACCTGGGTGCAGCCGCTGCTCGCGGGACGGATGCCTGGGAGGATCCCGGAGAGACAGAGCGGGACGAGCTACGGACGGGGCCAGGCGCCGCATCCCCGGGCGCGGGCCGAACAGCTCCTGGGCGCCCCGCAGCAGCTCCAGTAGGGTGTGCGCCAGCGAGCGCAGCTCTGCAGGCGGGACAGGGGTCCCAGTGGTAGTCAGATGTGGGCCAGGCCCTTGGGCCCCCGGCCCAGCCCCGGGAACAGGACTGACCACATCGCCGCCGGCGCTGCAGGCACTGCTCTTGCGCGAGACGCGTACAGGCGCCCACGGGCCCCGGGCACAAGTGGGCGTAGAAGGCGCAGGGAGGGGCGGCATCTGCCAGAGGCTCTCCAGACGGATCCCAAGCCAGAAGCTCCCTGCAGCTGGGCTCGCGGCTGAAGGGGGCCGCTGCGGGGGCAGTACGGGCTAGCTTACCCCACCCCCCGGCTTTGGACCCTAGCCCCCCAAATCCTCCCCTGGAGGGAGACAGGCTTTCCTGGCTCAGGAGGCTGAGGGCGGGCGGGGTGGAAACGGACTTGTCCAGGGCTGTTAGCGGGACACTCTGGGGAGGAGGGAATAGGAACGGGGCGCTCACCGCTCATTTGATCCTGAAGCCAGTCCTTGAACACAGCCACACGGGTGTAAACCCCGGGCTTTCCTGGCTCCCCGCATCCATCCCCCCAGGAGGTGACTCCGTACAGGACCTCCCTGGGGCGGGGGCCAGGCTCAGAACAGGTCAGGGGCCCTCCAGAATCACCCTGTGAGGACCCGAGCCAAGAGAGAGGCCACTGCTTTGACACCCCTCCACCCCAACGACAGCCTTAGGCCTGGCCGGGAAAGCAGCTCTGAGCTCTACTGGGGCTACCATTCTTGTACCCATTTTAGCAAATGAGGACATAGAAGCTCAGAGAAGTTAAGTGACAGCCTGATTCTAGAACAAAATAAGGCTGTTCCGTCCCTGGGGAGCGCCCCACCCAGAGTCCTCCCATCAATCGAGGCTCATACCTGGCATGAGTCGATGCCCCCGGCCAGGTAGCCAGCACAGAGCATGCTGCTGGGGCGCAGCCCCGGTCCCAGGGCCCTTCTACAGGTGTCTGCGCTGAGCAGGGGCACACGGGCCTCCCTCACCGCCTCAGCCTCGGGCCCGTCTACAGGGAAGTAGTGGAAGGGGCTCAGGCCTGGAGGGCAGGGGTCCTGCTTCAAGGGTTTTCCCCCTTCCTGCTGCCCTCCTTGATTCCTCCCATGCGAGATGGGCAGCATTTTGCTAAGGCAGCTGGGCATTGGCCAGAATCCTTACGCCCCGACCTTCCAAAATTCCATCACCCCAGTCCCCATTCTTCCCATGCACACGCAGGTGCGGCTCACCCAGGCCCTGCCCCGCCAGTACCTTCGAAGAGTGCACCCCATCCCGCGATGGCACAGGAAGTGCCTGCGGGGGGCTCCTGGGGCTCCTGGGGCAGGCACACCGGGCGCGCCGCCCCTGCCGGGCTCACCGGAGTCCACAGCTGCACCAGGGCCAGGTCGTTGTGAAAGGTCCGAGGGTCAAACTGGGGAGGGGGTGGCGGCGCAGTGTCAACGAGGCGTGAGGTGGGGGTGCTGTTCCGAACTCTGAGGGCCTAGGGGCTGCCCTCTCACCTTGGGGTGGGGCAAGATGCGGTTTACCGGCACCTCCTCCGCTTGCTCCCCCCGGGGCCCCTCGGCCAGCGTCACCGTCCACAGAAGCTCGTTTGGGGCGCTGTGGGGCGAGCGGCGGGAGATAACGCTGGACAAGGAAGCAGCGAGGTCCCTTAGAGACCGTGCCCCCTGCCCACGGGCATTACCCAGCGCGTCCGCACGCCGGGGTGCTTCTCCACCTGGGGACAGGGAGAGCTGGCCCCGAGTGGGTCGAATCCTTGGACGATAAGTCATCGGAGATCCGAGGCTGGGAGCGAGGGCGCCTTGAGGCGGGCAAGGGACAGTCACCGCTAGGGGGCAGCAGAGACCGGCCCTCACGCTTGGCGCCCGCCCGACGACCCCGGAAGAGTTGGACCCGGTGTTGGGGATCTGGGCTGGGCAGGGGCCTGAGGCTGGACGTACCCCGCGAAGCAGTGCGCCGCCGTGAGCACCCAGGACGCAGCCACCAGGACGCCGCCGCACAGAGGCTGCCCGCCGAGTTGCAGCCTCACCAGCCAGGGCCAGGCCCCAGGCGGCGCCGCGCTTCCCCCGACAATGCGGCCGTGGGCCCGCGTCACGTTGACAGTGCCCGGGTGTCTCTCGCCACACGGCCCTAGAAAGGCCAAACGGCGTCAGGAGGAACAAATCCTGGTCGACCTCACCATAGACCAGGGTCCACCTTGCTCTCAGCCCTGACCCCTGGAGCCTTTTCAGCCTCACCTGCCTCAGGTGGATCCTGGAGGAGGGGGGCTTGAGGCCTGGGACGCCCAGGTGCTGCTGAGAAACAGATCTTTGAGCCTCGTGGCCACCCTTCCACCCTTCCTCCATCCCAGCCTGGGCCTGAGTTTTCTCCCTCCTCCCCGACCCCTGCACCCCTCCTCTGTGACCCTGCCCCCTAGCAGTCAGGGTCTATTTCAGCAGCCATAAACTCACTGTTCACCAAATGAGCCCAGACTGTTCCTGCCCTCCTGCCTTTGCACACGCAGTGTCCAAGCCTGGGGTGCCCTTTCCACTTGGAGAGACCTTCATGAGCATTGTCTTGGTTTCAGCCCCACCCAGTCTCTGTCCCCAAGACGGGGTCAAGTCTAAAGGGAAGGGAAGGGGTGGACAGGAGAATGGACCCAGGGTAGTCAGTGCAAGCTCACCAGGGCATGGGATGGTGTGGTTGGCACA